AATGACGTGATAAAATATTGACCGTTAATTAATTTTAACTTAATATTAATCAACGGTTAAGATTTTGTCACGTTATTCGGTGCACTACCGTCGGTGGCTATAACATTACTTATGTCAAGGCCCTCAATATACTCTTTGTAGCACTTCGTACCCTTGCCCCACCCACCAACCTTGAAATCACTAAAAATTAGGCAGCACGATGAAATTACGCAAATAAAATTACAAAAAAAAATGTTTATTGAATTAAACTAATCTCCAGAATAAACGAACAACTTCCTCTTCAAAAGGGTGGATTTAACTTTTCTTTCAAGTTGTTCCACTACTGCCCACAAACAGGAAACCCCCTCAATCTTACAGTGTTATGATAATATTATACAGTCAATCACCCAATTATTTCCAACCACAAGGTCTTAACTTCAAATCAAAGAATCTCAACACACCATACTCCACAATAAACATGTAAAAACTGAAAAAAGAGAATCAAAATCCCTAGTAACTTGAAAGGGAGAAAGAAAAACAAACCTGACAGACGGTCTACAATTCTTTCTCTTCTTCATTAATTTTAGAACTCAAAGAATATTAGGTAGTGCTACTTTTTTTTTACTTTTTTGTGAGTGTTTTTGTCTTTCATAGTAAATTTATAAGTGAAAAATTGAGAATCGAAACTAATTAATTATCAATTCCATGGACTTTGTAATGTAGAATTTATCAGAAATCTCCTTGCCTAAGTAGAATCAATTGCTAACTGCAATCACTTCGAAGTAAGACTTCTGCATCTTCTTCTTGAATTTATGAAGAATGTTTGGATAAACTCTCTGTGGTGATCAGACAACAAATATTTATTATATAAATTTGAATTCTTTTCTGTTGCCACTAATTTGATTCAATATTTTAAATGAAAATGAAACAAATATAACAAGCATATAAAAACTAACTGGTTTCCATTGATTCATAGAATTCTGAATAAGTAGGGATTTTTCTTTCTCTCCCTGAAGAATAAGAAATATGTCATCAAACAATTAAGATGATGGGATGGGAGCTTATTATTCAGGAGCTGAACGTCTGAGTTCTTATCTTTAGCACTAACAAAGTTAAAATTCTGGAAAATTTTCTGGAAGAGGACCCAACATGATGTGCACAGAAGCATTTCTTGTGATTAAACATTCTCCTTCATCCATACTTCAACATCTGAGGATTGATTTCTTTTCATGACGACATTCTTCCAAATTCAAACATGAGACACCCTTTTTACATAGTAATCTGTGATCAACTTAAATATGAAATAGATATTTATCACATTTTGAGTTAAAAACTGGAAGTTACTAACTACCCAGAAATCTTTATCCAACTTTCTTTTTTACCCATCCAATCCATTTATATATTACGCGAGAGATGTCCAATAAATTTTACCCAATCTCACGCTGAACTTATTCAAACATTCAAATGGAAATGATGAGAGAAATTTCTATTGCATAATTGACATAACAGAAAAAAGTTGCAAGAGAAGTATTACTTTAAAATCAGAAGAAAACAAAACCCAAAGACGGAAAGTGGAAATGGAGCAAATGAAAGCTGTGTGTGTTGTGAGAGTCGGTATCAGAGAAATGGTCCACTCCCACAGAACTTCAGTGTTACCATCATTACTACTAGGGGTGTTCGGTTCCGGGTACCCTGCACTTTTTGAAGGAATCGGACTGATCGTTCCTTGAAATTTGGAACCAGAATCGGAATCGACAGTTCCGGTTCCTAGGTACCCAGAACCAGAACCTGTAAGAACGGTTCCGGTTCGGTTCTGGGTACCCTGTAAAATTCATGACCCCCCAAAAGTTTTTAAATGGCAAAAAAACCCTTAAAAACTTACAAATACCCCCCCACCTAGCACTTGTTAACAAAATAAAATTACAAATTATAAATTCAAAATTACAAACTCCATTACTTTGTAAAGGTAAATCTCAAAGTCAACCAACTTACTTTAAATGTTTAAAATATAAATAAATGTATTCACATTACTTTTCTACAAAAGTTTTTATTAACCCCCCTAATCTTTAATTTTTATTTTAATTATGTCCTCGGCTCCTGGTTCCTGGTTTTGGTTCCGGTTCCTAACTATAGGAACCAGAACCCGCACAGAACGGTTCCAAAAATTTGGAACCGGAACCTACCCATTGACTACTGGTTTCTGGGTAGGAACCGGAACCGGAACCAAACCCAGGGTACCCGTCGGTTTCGTTCCAACCGGTTCTTTTGAACACCCCTAATTACTACCATTTTTTTTTTTTTTTTTTGGGTTGTCCAAGCTTGGACTCATCTTAACTAATTCTTTAGAATCTTGAAATTAACGATCAGTTAAATTTTTAGTGATGTACTCCTTATTAATATCGTAGAGATTCAAACTAAAAACCTGTTATGTAATACACCCAAAAATTCTTAACGGGAAGCTATTATCACCTTCTTTACAAATTAGTTTCTTGTTATTGGTTCGAGATTGAGTCTCTCTTTCTCCTTCTTTATTTCCAAAATTTTTGCTTTCTTCTTCACCATCTTTTATAATCCATCCCTTGTTATTTAATCATATCATCAAATTTATTTCTTTGAAAATATAATAATTTCAAACTGAATGGTGTTAACAATATTAATATTAACACTATTAATTTATGTTAAAATCTTAACATTATTGAATTCTCTCGTTAACGGTGTGTCAACTACCGTTAATTAAATTAACATTAATTGGATCAAAATAAGTAGAGATTTCTGGAAGAAATGTTGTGATTCTTAAACAAAACATTTAATTACTGAACACCTGATAAACCACTTTCCCATATGCAGATGCCCAAATGGAGTTTCCCATATAGATCTGCTAAGAAGAGATGGAACCAAAAAGAATCCGTTTTGACATGGTCCTCAAGCAGTTCTCTACATCTAAATGTGGACAATGAAATTTAAGGGTGGTTCTTTTTTGTAACTTGCCGAGATATCATAGTGAATTTGCATGTTGGCCGTAAAACATCTGATCAACATATACCCAATATTAACTTGAGTTCATAATAGAAAAGAATAACTGCCCTAGTAGTTAAGAATGTTTGCTCTCTTCATTGACTTTACGAGTTTGAACCTTAGGGTCACCAATCACTTTGTGACTTACTTAAACATTAGGCTTAGAGGGTATTTAATGAACCCCAAAAAATTAGTTAAAGTGCTGAAAACTAGTTCGAGCAAATATATATAAAGTGATGGTAAAAGGCGTATTATTATATGAGAACTGTATGGCTGAGTTAATATGTTCAACAGAGAAATGTTGATATAACTTTGTAGATGAACCAACAAAGTTGCAGCCCAGAAGGGAGCACCTACAAGGTTGAAATTTGCAAAAACCATTTTCGTGCACACTTTTTGGAACCCAAGTTAATAAAACAAAATTCCTTCAAAGAAGGATATAGATCAAGGAAAAACAAAACCTCATAGACAGGAGATCTGAAGAGAAGCTGCTTGGAGGAACCAGGAGCGGAGAAGACCAGCGGTAGATTATTTTAGAATTTTTGGTGGTCTTGCTTACGCTCACATTCGGATGCAAAGAGAAAAAAGTTGGATGACAAGGAGAAAATGCATATTTCTTAGTGTTAGTGATCAATCGAAAGCGTACAAATTGTACAATCCTACTCACCAAGAAAATTGTCATTAGTCGTGATGTTGTATTGATGAAGATAGAACCTAGTCTTGGAGTAGCAATGGTGTTGAACAGACAATACCAACATATATTGATGGTGAAAATGAAAGAAGACACAACAGCCTCATCACAACAAGCTACAACAGTTTCTACTCTTGAAGATCCTCGAAATGAGGTTCTACAACATCTGAAACTTCACCAGCACAACAACATATGATGAGCAGGTTGATGCTATAGAAGGTTCACATCCTCAATGTGTTAGAAAAGGCTAGCAGGATGCAAGTAGCATGAGGTAACAAGAATTGATTATCTGAGGATCCACTCACCCATTTTGCCATGTTTTCAAACTGTGATCCAATAACTTTCAAAGAGGCTGTCAAAGAATTAAAGTGGTAGAAGGCTATGAATGTTGAAATTGAGGCCATCAAAAGAAACAACACTTGGGAGTTGACAGAGCTCCAAAAGGGCAAAAGACCATGGTGGTGAAGTGGGTTTATAAAAACAAGTTGAGGAGAACGGTGAAGTTGACAAGTACAGGCGCTTTTGGTGGCCAAGGGCTATAAGCAAGAATTTGGTGTTGATTACAAGAAGTTTTTGCTCCGGTTGTGAGGCATGACACAATTAGATTGGTGATGCATTGGTAGCTCAAAACTCATGGCTTATCTTCTAGTTGGATGTGAAATCAGCATTTCTACATGGAGACCTACAAACAGGTATTTGTTGATCAACCTCCTATTATGTGAAGCTAGGTAATGAGCATAAGGTGTATAACTTGAAAAAGACTCTACATGGGCTGAAACAAGCTCCAAGAGCTTGGTACAGCTGTATAGATTTTTATTTTTTGAAGGAAGGTTTTAGAAGATGTCCATATGAGCATACACTCTTTATTAAAATTGAAGATGGAGGAAAGATGATCTTTGTATGCTTATATGTAGATGTTAATTTACACTGGAAATGACATGACTATGTTTGAAAAGTTAAAAATCCATGATGAATGAATTTCATATGTCTGATCTTGGAATGTTGCATTATTTTATTGGCATGAGGTGGGTCAATCTGGTGCTGGAATTTTTATTTCTCAAAAAAAAAAAAAAAAAAAATTATATGCGCGAGAAATTTTTATAGGTTTTAGATGAAGAATTGCAATTCAGTGAGTACACCACTATTTGGAACTATGGTTAGCAACCCATGGTTACTTGTATATATAAACTGTAATAAACGTCTTGTATACTAATTTTTTCAAGCTGAATAAAATTTCTCTTCTCTCAAATACAAATTGTTCATGGCATCAGAGCTGTGTTTTTCAACTGCAAAATGAGTAGCTTCGATTGAAGATTCAAGCTAAAATCAACTCTGTTTCTTCATCACTCCTGTGAGTAGGCTGGGAGATGCAAATATCCACCCTGAGTAGCCCGTTCCAACCAAAAACATGGGATGGTATGTAAATGAACTCCATTAAAGGATCGCTCTCGATCAAACGGTTGTCATTAATCTGCTGGGCATGAATGCTCTTTGTCAAAGATTGTAATATAGCAAGGCTGTTGTTGTTGCGTCTAGCCAGTATAGTATGATAGCTAAATCCTTTCCAGGACGGAGCAAAATGACTAACCGAGATTTGATGCAAATGATTTTCAGTACTTGTATTTTTGAGAATAAACAAGTCACCGCATTCCTTTTCTTGAAGAACAATTATTCTGAAACTAACATTTAAGGCAATGGTCATGAATGTACAGTAAAGAAACTGTACAACTGAATCTTTATGTTCACCTCCAAAGTGTCGTTGAAACTGCTTGTATGAACCAACAAAATTGCAATCTGAGAAGGGGCATGAACATGGTGAATAGTGGCATTCCTTTTCATGTTCATCTTTCTTCCAGTAAGTCATAGTTTCTTTGCATCCATACTTGGCATTTCGGCATATCAATTTGACTGATCCTAGAAGTCGGTCAATGGCCCAGTTACGATTGTAACCAATAGGCCAATAGCAGAAGGGACATGTATTCTGTAATTTGGCGTAGCAGGAGGAACAACATAAATGGTCATTTTCACACTGAATTACCATTGCCATGCAAGCATACAAACAGTTATCAGCTTCTATCGAAGATATGTATACAAAGACTTGCTACAGCAAAAAAAGCTATCACAAACAAGTTAATACAAAAAAAAATTCTCATTCTCAAGTGAGGATGTCATAGCTTCTCTGGAAATTATGATTCAGCAATCAATTGGTATTGGTCGAACTCTACCTTGAAGTGAAAGTAAACATAAATAATTTCAAGCTTTAAGACAAGCAGAGATGCCATTGATAAAATATCCATACACCACATCATTCAACAAGGAAACCAAGATAAAAACTTCAAAAAGACAGTCTCACCTCCTCACTTTGCTAGCGCATGATGAGACCATCCAATGGAATAAAGAAATAGATAGTTTTCAAAATCGCCCATCATGGTTATGGTTATTGACAAATGATAAGAGTAGTTATTCTGAATCATGATGACAATTGGATGAAATAGAAAATTAGGCCCAAATATGGCAACACAAAAGAGAAAATTAGACATATATGGCATCATCAAAAGGAGGTGAAGAGCTTGTCCCATTAAAGTTTTTCCCCCAAAGCAAATACACAAGTTGTTTCTAAATTGTTCTACCCACAAAGATATCCAGGAAGACTACGATCAACAAGAATAAAGGAACAGTAGGTGCCTCGAACCATAATCTCTAATAGCATCTATTAAAAATCCACCATCTCACAAAGATCCATGTACTCAAACAGTGTACATCCAAAACTGTTCTTCAGCTATCTTCAAAGAAATGTCATAAACTCTGTTCCTACGGCCCACTGATAAAATCTTCAAAATCGCCTAACAAATTGAATACTGCCATTAGGACATCGTAAAATTGTGGTCAAAAGTTTGTTTGTTCTATCTTTTTTTTTTTTTTTTTTTTTTAAAAGCCTTGTTTATTTATTAAAAGCCAAACACAAACTTTAACAGTGTTCAGGTGCAAGCTGCATTAGACGAGATCCATGTCTGTCTCACAACCCACAAGCTCAAAAAATCATATAAAAAACTTAAAGTGAAACCCCATATAAAAATTGAAGACTTAATATCTGAATCCGTAACAGTTCATGCAAAACAAACATACCCATTTCAGAAACATAACAAAACTAAGAGACAGAAAACAAAACCTGGTACACAGGAGGGATCGAGGGTTGAAAGCAAACGGGGCAGTGAAAAACGGCTGGTTCAGTCAGAGCCAAAGACAAAGGGCCATTTCCACTAGCTCCAATTAAATCAAGACTCTCTCCATTGCCACGATTTTGAGAAATTTCATGTCTGAAGTGGGTATGATTTTGAGAATCCCTCCTTGGTCTCTTAGGGTTTCTGTTGCTTGGTCCGTCTCCATACTGCAAGGCATCCATAGAAGAGAAATTCTGAGGCATTTTTGGTTTCACTTTTGCATATAAAAATGGAAGTAAGATTAAATGGTGAGTCTTGTAAAGTAACTGAGCATATGGAAAAGTGGTTTCTGACTCCAATGCCACTACTATGAAAATCAATTATCAAAGCTATGAAGCTACCCATGAGAAACACTGCGGAAGCTGCATTATTTCAGAGATTGTGATGTCATGTCAACCCTAAAGTTTATTAATGACAACTCACTACGTCTACAATTCTTTCTCTTCTTCATTTAATTTTAGAACTCAAAGAATATTAGGTAGTGCTACTTTTTTTTACTTTTTTGTGAGTGTTTTTGTCTTTCATAGTAAATTTATAAGTGAAAAATTGAGAATCGAAACTAAATTAATTATCAATTTCCATGGACTTTGTAATTGTAGAATTTTATCAGAAATCTCCTTGCCTACAGTATGAATCAATTGCTAACTGGCAATCACTTCGAAGTAAGAGCTTCTGCATCTTCTTCTTGAATTTATGAAGAATGTTTTGGATAAACTCTCTGTGGTGATCAGACAACAAATATTTATTATAAAATTTGAATTCTTTTCTGTTGCCACTAATTTGATTCAATATTTTAAAATGAATAATGAAAACAAATATACAAGCATATAAAAACTAACTGGAGTTTCCATTGATTCATAGAATTCTGAATAAGTAGGGATATTTTCTTTCTCTCCCTGAAGAATAAGAAATATGTCATCAAACAATTAAGATGATGGGATGGAGCTTATTATTCAGGAGCTGAACGTCTGAGTTCTTATCTTTAGCACTAACAAAGTTAAAATTCTGGAAAATTTTCTGGAAGAGGACTCCAACATGATGTGCACAGAAGCATTTCTTGTGATTAAACATTCTCCTTCATCCATATCTTCAACATCTGAGGATTTGATTTCTTTTCATGACGACATTCTTCCAAATTCAAACATGAAACACCCGTTTTACATAAGTATTATCTGTGATCAACTTAAATATGAAATGATATTATTTATCACATTTTGAGTTAAAAACTGGAAGTTACTAACTACCCAGAAATCTTTATTCCAACTTTCTTTTTTTAACCATCGAATCCATTTATATATTACGCGAGAAGATGCCATATAAATTTTACCCAATCTCACGCTGAACTGTTATTCAAACATTCAAATGGAAAGTGATGAGAAGAAATTTATATTTGCATATAATTGACAATAACAGAAAAAGTTGCAAGAGAAGTATTTACTTTAAATCAGAAGAAAACAAAACCCAAAAGACGGAAAGTGGAAATGGAGCAAATGAAAGCTGTTGTGTTGTGAGAGTCAGTATCAGAGAAATGGTCCACTCCCACAGAACTTCAGTGTTACCATCATTACTACTAGGGGTGTTCGGTTCCGGGTACCCTGCACTTTTTGAAGGAATCGGAACTGATCGTTCCTTGAAATTTGGAACCAGAATCGGAATCGACAGTTCCGGTTCCTAGGTACCCAGAACCAGAACCTGTAAGAACGGTTCCGGTTCCGGTTCTGGGTACCCTGTAAAATTCATGACCCCCCAAAAGTTTTTAAAATGGCAAAAAAACCCTTAAAAACTTACAAATACCCCCCCACCTAGCACTTGTTAACAAAAATAAAATTACAAATTATAAATTCAAAATTACAAACTCCATTACTTTGTAAAGGTAAATTCTCAAAAGTCAAACCAACTTACTTTAAATGTTATAAATATAAATATAAATGTATTCACATTACTTTTTTACAAAAGTTTTATTAACCCCCCTAATCTTTAATTTTATTTTATATTAGTCTCGGCTCCTGGTTCCTGGTTTTGGTTCCGGTTCCTAACTATAGGAACCAGAACCGCACAGTAACGGTTCCAAAAATTTGGAACCGGAACCTACCCATTGACTACTGGTTCTGGGTAGGAACCGGAACCGGAACCAAACCCAGGGTACCCGTCGGTTTCGGTTCAACCGGTTCTTTTGAACACCCCTAATTACTACCATTTTTTTTTTTTTTTTTTTTTTGGTTGTCCAAGCTGGACTCATCTTAACTAATTCTTTAGAATCTTGAAATTAACGATCAGTTAAATTTTTAGGATGAACTCCTTATAATAATCGTAGAGATTCAAACTAAAAACCTGTTATGTAATACACCCAAAAATTCTTAACGGGAAGCTATTATCACCTTCTTTACAAACTTAGTTTCTTGTTATTGGTTCGAGATTGAGTCTCTCTTTCTCCTTCTTTATTTCCAAAATTTTTTGCTTCTTCCTTCACCATCTTTTAATTAATCTCATCCCTTGTTATTTAATCATATCATCAAATTTATTTCTTGAAAAAATAATAATTTCAAACTGAATGGTGTAACATATATAATATTAACACTATTAATTTATGTTAAAATCTTAACATTATGAATCTCTCGTTAACGGTGTGTCAAACTACTCGTTAATTAAATTAACATTAATTGGATCAAAATAAGTAGAGATTTCTGGAAGAAATGTTGTGATTCTTAAACAAAAAACATTTAATTACTGAACACCTGATAAACCACTTTCCCATATGCAGATGCCCAAATGGAGTTTCCATAAGATCTGCTAAGAAGGATGGAACCAAAAGAAATCCGTTTTGACAATGGTCCTCAAGCAGTTCTCTACATCTAAATGTGGACGAATGAAATTTAAGGGTGGTGTCTTTTTGTAACTTGCCGAGATCATAGTGGAATTTGCATGTGCTGGCCGTAAAACATCTGATCAACATATACCCAATATTAACTTGAGTTAATAATAGAAAAGAATAACTGCCCTAGTAGTTAAAATGTTGCTCTCTTCATTGACTTTACGAGTTTGAACCTTAGGGTCACCAATCACATTTGTGACTTACTTAGAACATTAGGCTTAGAGGGTATTTAATGAACCCCAAAATTAGTTAAGTGCGTGAAAACTAGTTCGAGCAATATTATAAAGTGATGGTAAAAGGCGTATTATATGAGAACTGTATGGCTGAGTTAATATGTTCAACAGAGAAATGTTGATATAACTTTGTAGATGAACCAACAAGTTGCAGCCCAGAAGGGAGCACCTACAAGGTTGAAATTTGCAAAAAACATTTTCGTGTGCACACTTTTTTGGAACCCAAGTTAATAAAACAAAATTCCTTCAAAAGAAGGATATAGAAGGAAAAAACAAACCTCATAGACAGGAGATCTGAAGAGAAGCGCTTGGAGGAACCATGGAGCGGAGAAGACCAGCGGTAGATTATTTTAGAATTTTTGGGTGTCTTGCTTACGCTCACATTCCGGATGCAAAGAGAAAAAGTTGGATGACAAGGAGAAAAATGCATATTTCTTAGTGTTAGTGATCAACGAAAGCGTACAAATTGTACAATCCTATCACCAAGAAAATTGTCATTAGTCGTGATGTTGTTGTATTGAAGATAGAACCTAGGCTTGGAGTAGCAATGGTGTTGAACAGACAATACCAACATATATTGATGGTGAAATGTGAAAAGAAGAAGAAACACAACAGCCTCATCAACAACAAGCTACAACAGTTTTACTCTTGAAGATCCTCGAAATGAGGTTTACAACATCTGAAACTTCACCAGCAGCAACAACATATGATGAGCAGGTTGATGCTATAGAAGGTTCACATCTCAATGTGTTAGAAAAAGGCTAGCATGGATGCAAGACTATGAGGTAACAAGAATGATTATTCTGAGGATCCACTCACCCATTTTGCCATGTTTTCCAAACTGTGATCCAATAACTTTCAAAGAGGCTGTCAAAGAATTAAAGTGGTAGAAGGCTATGAATGTTGAAATGAGGCCATCAAAAGAAACAACACTTGGGAGTTGACAGAGCTTCAAAAGGGCAAAAGACCATTGGTGTGTGAAGTGGGTTTATAAAAACAAAGTGAAGGAGAACGGTGAAGTTGACAAGTACAAGGCGCTTTTGGTGGCCCAGGGCTATAAGCAGAATTTGGTGTTGATCCAAAGAAGTTTTTGCTCCGGTTGTGAGGCATGACACAATTAGATTGGTGATTGCATTGGTAGCTCAAAACTCATGGCTTATTTCTAGTTGGATGTGAAATCAGCATTTCTACATGGGACCTACAAGAACAGGTATTTGTTGATCAACCTCCTAGTTATGTGAAGCTAGGTATGAGCATAAGGTGTATAACTTGAAAAGACTCTACATGGGCTGAAACAAGCTCCAAGAGCTTGGTCAGCTGTATAGATTTTTATTTTTTGAAGGAAGGTTTTAGAAGATGTCCATATGAGCATACACTCTTTATTAAAATTGAGGGAGGAAAGATGATCTTTGTATGCTTATGTAGATGATTTAATTTACACTGGAAATGACATGACTATGTTTGAAAAGTTTAAAAAGTCCATGATGAATGAATTTCATATGTCTGATCTTGGAAAGTTGCATTATTTATTTGGCATTGAGGTGGGTCAACTGGTGTGGAATTTTATTTCTCAAAAAAAAAAAAAAAAAAAAAAAATTATATGCGCTAATAGAAATTTTATATAGGTTAGATGAAGAATTGCAATTCAGTGAGTACACAACTAAGTTTGGTTTGAAGCTAAATAAAGCTCATAATGGAAAGAAGGTTAATGACACTCTTTACAAGTAGATTGCAAGAAGTCTAATGTATTTAACATCAACAAGGCCAGATATAATGTATTCAATGAGTCTCATCAGCAGATACATGGAGAATCCAACAGAGATGCATCTGCTAGCTAGTTGCCAAGAGAATACTTTGATATTGCAAGGTACAATGGAATTTGGGTTGTTCTACAAGAAGGGAGAAAAGTAGACTTTATTGACAGCGATTATGCTGGGGATCAAGATGATAGAAAAAAACACTTTAGACATTGCTTTTATCCTTGGTTCATGGGTTGTTTCATGGTCATCAAAGAAACACAATTGTCACTTATCAACCACTGAAGCTGAATTTGTTGCTGCAACTTCATGTACATGTCAAGCCATATGGTTGAAGAAAA